AACATTTTGGGATAAAATTTTTGCATTTGTTTTTACATTCGTGTATGTTAATTTTTTTAGATTGTTCTTTTGTGATATATATATATATATATATATATATATATATATATATATCAAAGTGGCCAATATATTTCATAGATTTTGTCATACTTCTTGCAAAATCTTTTTGGATGATTGAGCTTCCATTATTAGTTTAATTTCAAAAGGAAAAAATGCACCTGAATTACTGCATAAATAAATGACCGGCTAATTGACAATTAACACACTGAATCATAATAAAATGGAAAAATTGAAATTAATAATCCCAACTATTGACGATCCGCTGATAATAATCCCAACTATTGATTATTTTTGTATAATCCCAACTATATGGACAGTCCGCCAATAATGGTCCATGACCAAATATTACACCCTCAAAAAGTGAATTTTAAATAGAAATCAAGTTTAAAAATTAAAAGTTGGGATTACTTATAGGAATTACTTGTTATATCTCTCCTCATCCACTTTAGAAACTACAAAAATTTATTTAAAGGGACCATTATTGGCGGAAGGTCCCTAAAGTTGGTATTATTCTGAAATAATCGATAGTGGGATTATTTTAAGCGAACCGACCATAGTTGGGATTATTACTATCAATTTTTCCTAATAAAATTGATTGTGTTTATTATAAACTTCATTGTTTGACTTTCTTTTGCCAATTTTTTACTACGCATAATAGGGGTAACTTTCTTTTGAGTGTACAAATGTAAAATCAACATAAAACTGTTTCTGCTTCCTGAGAGAGCAGAAGCAGAAACTGGAGTGTTTTGGTTAAAGTGCAGAAGTGATTCTGGTGCACTTTTTTACTCCTGAAATCAGTTTTTTTAAAAGCTGGAGATGACCAACTTCTGAAAACTTATTCTGCTACTTTAAAAAAGGGAAATTATCACAAATAAGCTCAAAAGTTAAAATTATATCACTTTTGTCACCGTGTATATCTTTTTTCAAAAATGGACAAACTTAGTTTCTCTTTTCAAAAACAGATCATACTACTGTATGGGCCCCTGGAAGTCTGGAACCTCTTTCTTCGTGTAGTAGGCTAGTAATTACGTACATAGTTACTCACTACTCCCTCATTGATAAAGTAATAATAAGTGCATGAATGATTATTTTTTTTCCCTATGTTTAGATAAAATGTAAAGTTCAATAAAAAATAAAAAGATAATAATAATAATAATAATAATAATAATAATAATAATAATAATAATAATAATAATAATAATAATAATAATAATAATAATAATAATAACAACAACAATAACAATAATAATAATAATTAAGTACAGAATAAAAGTCTAGGAACTAACATTAAATTAACAAAACTCAACAAAAAAATTAAAATGTATAGTAAACAGTGCAAAATTGAAAACTTGTGAATTAGATTTTAAAACATTAAATTAAAAAATCGGAAAAGTGTAAAGTAAACGTATTCAAAATTTTTAAAATGTTAAAACTAGACAATAAAATAAAAAGAAAGATAAAAAAAGTGGAGAACTACAAAAAAAATTGATTTTTTTATTGTATTTTTGTTTAAATATTTTATAATTTATATACAAAAAACTGCAAAAAAAGGTAAAATAATGATAGGTTTAATCAAACAAATTAATATAGCAAAAAATATGAATACCTAAAATTATAAATACAAAAATAGAGGGAAAAATATATGAATTTTATTTTAAAAAAAATAATATTAAAAAAGTTAAATGTTATCACCATTTTATTATTATTCTTTGTTGCATTTTGTTTATTTTTGTAGATAACTTTGGAATTTTTGTTTTCCATTGTTTCTTGATGTTTCGGGATATTTCCTGTTTTTCTGTATAAAAATTAATAATTCCAGATAAACTTTTTAATTAGTGTATATCAATTTAGTGTTGGTTTTTTCCTATCATTTCTTTCAGTTTCTTCCTATTGATAATTTTGTTTCTTTTTTGTTTTTTATTGTTTCTTAATGTTTGTAGTTGTTTATATTTATAAATCCAAACTTATCATTTATATTTATGTATATAAATTATATAGATTTCAGTTTCTTCCTATTGATATTTTTGTTTCTTTTTTGTTTTTTATTGTTTCTTAATGTTTCTAGTTGTTTATATTTATAAATCCAAACTTATCATTTATATTTATGTATATAAATTATATAGATATTATTATTTTAAGGAAGTAGCAAAGGTAAATAGAAACCTAAATAAACTAAAAACAATAAATAATAATTAGCAACATGGTGAAACAAAAAAAACACGATGCGACAAAACGAAACACGGTGAAACAAATATATTACATGTGATACAACAAAAAGTAACAAAAATATTTCAAAAAGTATTACAACAAATATACAATTTAATCTATTGCTCCGATATAATACATTTATTTACGATGCTATTTGGTTTTGGTTATCATTTCTTCTTCTTCTTCTTCCATATGTCAGTCATCAGTGTTGGTGTGTCTCACCAAAGCCCTAGGAAATGCATATTGATTTTCTGTAGCACTGTCAAGCTCAACACAGACTTCAAGCACAATAAGCCAAACCCAATCAAATAAAAGATCCCAATCAAAATATGGTCAGTGAATACATCAATTGTAGCAAGAATGCCTATTAAGGACTTTCCATGAAAAACAATAGGCGGAGCAATGGCGGCAAATATGCAAAATCCAACATGAACTATGTAGACCAAGAAAAAACAGCCAAATGGTCACTGTCAGTCCTCATTGCATTGTAGAGGGCAGATACCACAAAATATAGGACAAGGGACATCTAAGTAAGGCATACATTGAAGCAAGAAAAAATATTTTGACACCTCCTCCCTTTATCCTGCACACACGATCACTTCAACAATATTGCATGTAAGATAAAAAACAATATCCAGCCAACTGGTGTTTCATTAGCAACGGGAATACCAGCACTAGAGAGCTGACCTTCATTTAATTTCCATTCGTTTCTTTTCAATTCAGCTTCCCAAATTGCCAGTTTCTTAGCATTTGTCAACACAGTAGCATCACACTTTTGGCCATGTCCAAAGTATTAGCATTTGTCACTGATTTCTTTAGATTCAAATGTAATGGCTCAGCCAATACAGTTATTCATTAACATTTTAATAAACACTTTATAACTGTGCAAAAAAGAATATAAATACACTCCGTATATTATAATTTCAATAATGAAAATCATAAATTAATAATAATCAAACTATATTACCTATATAATAGAACTACTAACCCTATAGTTAACATCAATGAATCGAAAAACACAAAAGAAGCTATGAATTTTTTTACCCCTAGATGTACATTAGCAAAAAGGGATTACAGAAAAGGAGAATGGACAAAAATGTTGAAAACAACAAAAACTAAATTTATCTTATAATAGAAAACAAAACACAGAACACTATAAAATATTACATGGAAACCCCAAAGTAAAGACCAGATAACCACATGACACTGTAAAAGGCGCCAAAAGGCCTCCACTAATAAACTTTAATCATCTAGGTGCATTAATCCATCGTATCTAATCAACAATAGAAGATTATGAACTAGGAGTCATTGGATGAATGAAAACTCGGAAAATTTGATTATAAGATATGAGAAGGTCTAGTGCATAAACAACATACTAGGTGAAGATTGGAGTTCTTATACTCAATCTGAGCCAATAGACCAGTTGCCTCAAGGGAAAATGCCTCATGCTTCACATCCTCACAACAGAATTTAACATTTGCAAACCAATTTAGCATTTAGTTAGTGATATCTCTAAGTAATTGGAGTGGGAAAGAACAACTTATATAACCTTAGAATACCTATTAGTACCTCGATGGAAAACCAATTGACATCAAGTGTCGTTGCCGCAAATTTGATGTTGTTGTTCATCTCGAGAAGCGCCGATCGATGTTTTTCAATCTCGTTGTCTGTGTGATGCTTGTTGACGAAGACAAAAGAGCCGATTTCGTCTAGAGGTGAGGTGAGTGGGGAAGACAAGTAAATCGCTGCCTGAAGCTCAGAAGGTGCCACCGTCCAGATGCCGTCTGAAGCTAGTGTCGACAAAGGCCTGATCAGATTTGCCTACTTAATTTCGAGAAGAAGAAGAGCTTTCTGGTTGAGATTTTGCTGAGGAGATGATCGGTTATCCGTTTGGGAAGAACATATGGGAGACGAGTTGCTGGGGATTCATAATCTTCCATCTACGGACTAAAATAGCTCCATGGACGGTGCCCAATCCTAGCCTGGAATCCTCTCTCGAGATTTGGAACTCTTCGCCGCTCTCCAGGCTTCCTAGCGACAAAGTGAAGAGAAACGGTGATAGAGTATTTGTGTTGAGTCTCTGCGGTGATATACAGAGGAGCTGGGCAGAAATCGGATCTAAAACTGAAATACAAAAACATAATTGAAAACAGAAAATACTAACAATGAAAAGAAAAAATATTGGGATCATAAATGATATGTGGCACTCAAAAGGGAACCAAACGGGTAATTTCCACTTTAAAAAACGCAAGCAGGTCCAAACACCCCTAACTACTACGCACCGCGGCCGAAAAACGGCCCAAATGCTCTCTTTGGTCACGTGGCAACCAGCAAACCATAAAGCCCTCACAAAACCTCAGCGACGAGTTTCTCTGCGTTGTGATTGATTCTTCTTCCCCGGTGGTGCAACTGACTCAGATCTCCAGAAATGAGGAAGCTTTATGGAATCGCCGCCACATTCCAAGCCACCAAAGGCTATTACGCCGCCGCGGCTCGAACCACAGAGCATAGGTTAATCCAATCGGCTCTGTACAGCACCCGTAACAATTCATCTGCAATGTCACACTTGTTCTCACACAATAAGCGCGAGGACCAGTCCTCTCGAACCTCTGCTCACGTCTTATGCGGAACAGTGCTTTTCTCCGCCGCGGCTGCATCTTTGGCCGAAGAGGCTCACGCCAAAGAGCCGGTCCCTCCCAAATTTCGCCCAGATGATGTAGTTCTTTATCAGTACGCTGCTTGCCCATTCTGCAACAAGGTGAAAGGTATTCTTTTTACTTGTTCATTAGTATTTGTGCGACTTTCAGCCTATTTCGAGCATAACTGTCTGCGTTGGTTTACATAGAAACTAACTACGAAGCATGAACAGTGCGAAAGAATTGATTTGATTATGTTTGCTTAGCTGCTTTCTCATTATACGACTCTCGTTTATGTTTCTCTTTTGTTTCGTAGCATTCCTTGATTACTATGACATTTCATACAAAATTGTGGAGGTTAACCCGATCAGCAAAAAGGAAATTAAGTGGTCGGATTACAAGAAGGTGCCTATCTTGATGGTTGACGGCAAGCAGATGGTGGATTCATCAGGTTTGTTTGATTTTTGTTTTCATTTTTTCCTATTTGTATAGTATCGTATTGGCTTTCATTTACTCAGTTGCTTTAGGATATCTAACTATTGTATGACATTAAACTATATTTGTATAGTCCTTATTTTTCATGTTAGGTTTACATTCGAAGCTAATGGTTCTTATTGGATGTAGATATAATTGATAAGTTGTCTGAAAAGGTTCATCCACATCTTGGTGACAAGTCTACTTCAGACAAAGATGAAGAGAACAAGTGGCGCAAGTAAGCACACCTTTTCCTATATTTGAGATGATGGAAAGTTCCACAATTCCATGTTCAGTGATATTATCCAAAAGTGATTTTTGTATTGTGAAATAACTTGAAATCCAAAATAAATTTATTGTTCCCTATAGATGGAAGTTTTGTTGTATTGAATTAGTGATGGAAGTGTTTTCAAATTAGGTGGGTGGATAATCACTTGGTGCACATTTTATCCCCAAATATATATAGAAGTGCTTCTGAAGCTTTGGAATCATTTAACTACATCACCACTCAAGGTAAGATTGTCTATTACTGCTTCCTATTAAAAAATAGGCAATCAATAAGTAATACTCCGTAAGTTTTAAAACTTTCTTAGTAAAGGTTCTGTTTGTTTAAGTGTGTTTTAGTTTTTAGATATTTCTCACGCATCTGTTAATATTTTCCATAGCTCTAGTGTTTGTGTCTAAATGTGATTTTGCTTCATTTTAGATTTTATTATGACTCATGTTTTGTCCCCTTTTTGGCAAGTTATATTTTCTGATGAAAGTGAGAGTTGTAGATTTAATTCCATATGTGGATACTTGACATTGAAGTATAAAATGAATACAGATGGATGTATATAGGCAGCTATTTGCTATGGTCTTCTGTGAGCAGATACTCCATATTAGTAAACAGCACAACAAGACTGATATATTTTGCTTTTCTTTTGCTCAATTTCATTGTGACCATACTTGTCATGGCTGTACGGGGAGTCGCGGAGCCAGCCAACCGCCATATCGCCTAGTCGACTAGGCGCCCGCCTAGGCGACTAGTCACACATTGTATAATATATATATATATATATATATATTATATCTAATTATATTTAACAATAAAACATTCTAATTAACTATATCTAATTTTGAATTAAATATATGCTATAAATTTTACTACGTATATGATATGTTACGAATTCATTTGTATATTGCCTAGTATTTTATAAGTATGTGATATATCAATATACATAAGTTATTAATATACAAGGTATTAATTTCAAAATTAATCAATTATTATACCTAATTTATTATATATCTAATTTATTAATATACAAGTTATATGCATTGCTAATATATACTGTAGTGTGTATCTAATATCTATACATACTCTGTAGTGTATATGAATTATACAAGTATAGTATTAAATTAAACTTTGTAAAACTGTAGTGGGCATACTGTTTAGTGAGTAACTGCATATAAAATATATTAATATTAATATAATGGAATAAGAAGTCTGATAAAGACTAAAGTGATAAGATGAAAAAAAGCTGGAGAAGGAGCACATGTCATCTTCAACCTTGTGACACAGGCACGTAGCAACTACAGGTCGCCTACTTGTCTTCAACCTTGCAAAAGAGGCACGAAGCAGAGAAGTAGCGGCTAGCGATGCTTCACCTTTAGGCGTCGTCGATTGGCCTTTGAGTTAGAGAGTCAAGAATTGTCCTCTTAGGTTGGGCTTCTAAAAACGGATTTATTGAGAATTCAAATCTCCTGTGACGTGATGCCAGGACGACGCCAGAGGCAACTAATCTTCTTCCGGCAAGTCGATCTCCCCTGTCGACCCTTCTCCATCGCCAGGTCGCCTAGTTGGTGACTAGGCGACGCCTTGGCAACACCGTGAGAAGTATGATTTTGACTAATATATTCAGAAATATGTAACATGTTTAGGAATCTTCGTATTGAATATGTTATAGATATTTCTATTTTGCTATCGACAGTACTGTAAAAAATTATTTATGGGTAGCTTTTGGTCTAACAAGATATAAGCACAAAAAATGATTTTCGTATGAGTGTTTTGTTTCTTCTCTCCCTCCATACCCAAATTAACTTACTTCTTTTTTGCTCGTCTAAAAAACTATCCCCCCATTCCTCAACAACTTAATTTCATCCCCTTTGCCACTCGATCATGTTTCTATTCAAACACTGCTCAGTGCTCACCTCTGTTTGCTTGTATTGTGAGCAGGTAATTTCAGCTTTTATGAGAGAGCAGTTGCAAAGTATGCGGGGGCTGCAGCAATGTATTTTGTATCGAAGAATTTAAAGAAAAAATATAACATAACTGATGAGCGTGCATCATTGTATGAAGCCGCTGAAACATGGGTTGATGCTTTAAATGGTCGAGATTTTCTAGGTGTGCATGTGTGTGTGTGTGTGTTCGTGTTACTGCTTGCACTGTCCATTTTCATTAGTACATATATACATAGCATTATAGTTTGGTTTAATCTTCCAAATTAACTGTGGAATTACTTTCTTTACTAACAGGCGGAACTAAACCAAACTTGGCTGATCTTGCTGTGTTCGGTGTGCTGAGACCTATCCGCTACTTGAGATCGGGTAAAGACATGGTGCAGAACACACGCATTGGTGATTGGTACACTAGGATGGAAACTGCAGTTGGCCAACCTTCAACGGTTCATGCATAGCTAGCTTGAGGCGCTCTTAACATGTCTGAACTTTATGCCTCTTCTTTCCGGAGAAGGTGGTGTATGAAATTTTTTTTTGCAAATAATACATACAAGGAGATTGGATAGAATTTTAAATGTTATTCTGGTGAAGTGAATTTCAAATTTGCTATCAAAAGTGCAATAGTGTAATACATTAAATTAAACCCGTATAGTGTTCAAAATTGATCAAGTGACAGCACTACACCCGGTATGGCTCCAGTTTCTCCCAATGTAGTAACCATAACTGTAACTGGTATTATGGTTCTGGTGTAGGTAGAACCGTCCAGTTCCAGTTTGGCTTCAACCTGGCTTCTTAGCCTTAATAAAGATGTGGTATTGGGAAGGGGTCATTAGGTCCTATTTTGGAGGAACTGGACCAGGTTTGGACTTGTTCTTGGTACCAATTCTGGGTCGGAAAGACAAACATGGCATGCTACCGGGCCAAAAAATGTCTGTATGTGGTCCTCTGTACAAAACTAACTGTGGCTGTCCATCCCTAGCTACAAGTAGTTGCCGACTAGCGGTGCAAAAAATGAGCTATTCCTCGATTTGAGCTGGACTCATTTATTTGAGGAATTGAGCAGACAATATGATAACTCATTTTAAAAATAACTTGAGTCAATTCAACCCGAACATGTGTCTTGGATAGGGCTGGGGAAAAATGCCGAAATACCGAAATACCGTATTTATCGTACCGAAAAAAACCGAAATTACCGAAAATTTCGGTATACCGAAAACTTCGGTACGGTATGGTATCATACCGAACTGTTACGGTACGGTATCGGTATGTAGGTTTCAAATTTTCGGTATTTCGGTATATACCGAAATACCGTATGTATAAAAGATTTTATACATAATGTATGTCTCTTGGGCTCGAAGCAGCCCATCTAAGCAGCCCATACATCCTTCGTTCGTATAAGCAGAGAGGCGGTCCAAATTTGAAGGTAAAGTCAACTGAAGAGCATCTCATATTGTCACTAACCCTAGTTTATGGCAACCAACTGCGACAATAGGAAATTCACTTTGCGATGGCGGAGCTTCAACACTGGTAATAACAGAGCCTCAGCTTCAGAGTGTGACCACACAGGGAAATCTCAGGCCATTAGCGAACGACGAACAGACTTCAGGGACGACGTACCCATCTGCGACCAAACGAAGTCAAACTACCCAGAGATTTGATGCCGGTGGAACTGGACGGCAATCTGCAACTACACACTCCCAGCAACTAAGATTTGATTATGGCAAGTTCTTGTTTTCTCTTTCATTTTTTGTTGTTTTCCGCAAGAGTCATGAGTTTTCTATGGTATTCGTTGATTTTTAATAACTGAACAAACTAATCTTTTATTTTCTTACTTTATTGTTTATTCCAATTTCTAATTTACCTTTTGTTTTACTTCAATTTGTAGTTTAAAATGAGCAATCCAGACTAAAGCCAACAACGGTGAAAATAAAGCAGTCATTGCATCGCATCCTCTCATCAGAACAATTACCTTTTGTCTTATTTTTTTGTGATTAAACAAATTAACCTTTCAGTTTAATTATTGTTTTTGAATTATCTTCTAATTGTTTAATGTGAACGAGTTTAAGAAACTGAAAAAATTGAAACAAGTAAGGTTTTTATTATTTGATTAAGTTTACATTTAAATGATGAATTTTAATATTAATATAATGGTATAGAAAGCATATTTCTGCATTTCATAGTAGATCTTTACATTCCTCTTGATTTTGATAATAACTACGGAGTAGTACTTATTAATTCATATCATAAGCTGGGCATGTTAGTAATCTTAATGACTTATTTGGTGCTTTATTTCTTAATGACATATCCGTTCTGGCCACACAATATCCTTACTACGTAGTTGATGAGAACTCAAATGGCTTAGAGTGAAACATCATATTTGGTCACACAATATTGCTAATTTTAATTAAGGTGACTGCTTGGTTTATGAGACTAGTCTTGATAACTTATTTATAATATGTTTCAAGAGCAGTTAGATTTGACTGAAGTATTAGGTGAGTTTTTATAAGTTCTCCGCTAATTCTTTTTCCACCTCTTTCTTTCTTTTCAGGGATCAAGAAACGATCAACCAACAACCACTAATTCATTGATCATATGGATTTCAGATTTTGGGCTCCTTTATACTATCGTATAATGTTTTATATGAAGTATATATTACTGAATTTTATACTTGAACTGTTCTTTTAAATGTGTTTGAATCTACTTCCTTTTAGAATTAATGTGTCCATACCATGTCGTTTTAAATGTGCATAGCAGCATAGCCTTTGAATGATTTTAACATGATTATAAATTAATTGTATGTCTTGTTTAAGGATTGACTATTCAACCAAGCAATTATACATGAGTTATTATTACTATGTAGCATTTATTATAAATTTTTATTAATAATTTTAGTGAGTTTTAGGTGTCATATATATACTACTACTATCAAATTTCGGATTTTCGGTATACCGATACCGTGGTTAAGTTTCGGTATACCGAATATTCGGTATGGCATCGGTATGAAAATTGTGATACCGAAATTTCGGTATACCGAACTTTCGGTATACCGAACTTTTCGGTACGGTAACGGTATGGAATTTTCATATACCGGTATTTCGGTACGGTATACGGTATGACATTATTTTTTCGGTATGCCATACCGAACCAGCCCTAGTCTTGGATTTGTCATTGTGATTTTACATACTTGTAATATTTTTGTTTGAGCTTGTCTGTGTTTGAGAGTTGACACATCGGTTATAGAGTTGTGAAATTGAGAAGTTAAGGGTTCAAGTGTTCAACTGTTCAAGTTTTGGAAGTGGTCTCTTATCAAAATGGTCAAGGGAAGGTTTGCCCCTTATACACCTTTGTGGTGGGACTCTTTCCCGGACCCTTTGTCTTGCGGGGGAGGTCAATGTGCATGAGGCAGCCTGTTTATGAGTTTGTTTAGGCCGGTTGGCTTGAGCGTAAAATGAGTTGTATTCGAGTGATGTGGTATTGTGGTGACCTCAAATGTGTGGATTACGAGGCTGGGTCGGATGGAGTAACAGAGTGAGGTAAACTACAAGATGGCCCTACTATGTATTGGGCCCACTGCACAGCGTGGGGGGTATGGAATCTCTTGAGTGGGGGGTCGGTTTTGACTCAAGTAAAGAAACGGTCCGAAAGGTAATGGTTTTTGGGATTATTCATCACATCATAATATGGGTAGGAATCAATGTGCGAAGCAAATATGAGACAATGGAGTAGTTGGGGCTCACGGGTGTGGTCTCGTGGGGAAGGACCCTTTGACAGAATTTGCAATGCCGTGGGGTTAGGGAAAGGTCACCCAGACGATAAAAGTAAGAGTATGTTAAAGAGTTAGGTTTTGGATGTGAGTTATGGTTTTGGATGAGAGGGTTGAAGAGGGTTTAGAGCATCCACAATGCTAATGACATTTGATCCACTATCTCTCATCCACATCATTTCCATCCAAAAACTTGATCCTGTATAACCTATCTCATTTTTTCCCAACTATGGTGACCTAGGTCACTTAAATTTTTTACACTTTCTCTCCTTAATTGTTTTTGATATATTTCACCATTATTTATTTATTTAATTTGAAAAAGGAATACTTCGTATAAAATCCACATTTGACTCACTGTAATTATTTATAGTGAAAAAAAATAAAAATAAACATATTTTTTTAAAAAAATGTTTCATATCCTTAATTCAGAGGAAAAAAAGTCCTAAAACAGATAAAATAAGATGTACAAAGGAAAGAAATGGTAAATTTCGAAGTAACTAAACATATCCTCATTGATGTCTATGTATAGAGGGAAAAATCAAATATTTTATACAATTTTTTATATATAATAAATTAAACTTAATGCATAATAAATGAAATTATGGAGTTGGGGGTAGTTGATGTGGTTGGATCAAAGTAATATTTCACTTGGCTTTCTCTAATTGGTTAGTCAAAAATAAATTGTCAGCTTTCATTCTTAACCTTGCATTTTGATCGATCAATGCATGACCTCCCATAGTGAGGATCGGGATCAATTTCCTTATTCATCCCCAATGACCTCCCCATAGTGGATGCTCTTATGATCCTTTTTTTGTTTGGAAGTCTAAAATTTGGAATAGATGAATTGTAAGAGATTTTGTAATCTTGTAAACCGTTCAAACGTTCAATTTACAATTCCTCCCAATTGAAGTTTTTTGAAGTATAATATATTAATGATAATTTTAGCCCAGTTCAAAATAAATAGAATTTCAGCTCTTAAGTGCATTAGATATCTTTAGCGATTTTATTTATAATTCCTCGAGAGTTGTTCTCCTTTCAAGTTTGCAACTTCTAATTAAAAAGAATGACTTCTTTCACTTCTCTCACATTCTCTTCTCACGGCAAATCTTCGAAATATCCCTTCTCCAAGCTCCCAAGCATACTAGAAAATAATTGAATTTTTATCCATTTTAAATTACAGTAAATATATCATTTTAGTTATTTATCCTTCAAAAACTCTGAATCTTGGAAATTTGAAAATTGAGCTTTTAAGGGTTTTGAGGAGTCATAAGAGCTCTCCAATACCATCACTTGCAACTTTTTAAACTCTCAAACAAGAAGGAAACTTTTTAAACTCTCAAACAACTTATAAAATAGGCAAGTTTCGACTTCAAATCTCGTCACCTGTGATGAGAAGTTACTATATAAAATACACATCATTTATACAAGTACTTGAGTCAGAGCCCTACCCGCTATCTGTAAGTTTGTGATTAAAGTCTTATTTACATCCTCTCAGTTAACGTTGGGGATAATAGAGTAATTAATAACATTAATTAGGTTTCCATATTTGTATTGTTTCCTATTGTACTCAGGACATATTTTATTATATATATGGCACCTAGGGATACCACATTGGAAAGCCTTTCCATTATTCTCACATGATATCAAGAGCTCTAAGTTTTTAGCCAGTTAATATTTTTTTCGATGGCCTCTCCAACCACATCCGCCGTTGCCACCGAGACTACCTCTGGATTTGCTATTTTTCTGGGCCCTAATTTTGTGTCTTGGAAGTCCAAAAAGCAGCTCACTATCTTCCGGTCTTCCACAGAGGCTGAATATCGGGCAATTGCATACACAGTTCAGGACACTCTACACATTCGTTCCATATTATTCGAACTGGGCATTCCCATTCGGCAGCCCGTACAACTCTTATATGATAATGTTTCTGCCTCATACTTATCCATGAATCCTATTCAGCATGCTCGGAGTAAGCACATCAGCATTGATTATCATTTTGTTCGTGAGAGAGTCTCGCATGGAGATTTGGTTGTTCGCTATGTTCCTACATAGTTCTAGCTTGCAGATATTTTTACTAAATGTCTGTCACCACAACGTTTTACTTTTCTTAGGGACAATATGCACATTTTCCCCCTGCACAGCTTGAGGAGGTGTAATAGAGTAATTAATAACATTAATTAGGTTTCCATATTTGTATTGTTTCCTATTCAACATGTGAAACATGTGAAATATTACACTATTCACATGTTCTACTTTGACTACATTTTATTTATTGATGTATTGATATGCGGAGTATTTTTTTGAAAAATATATTATTAAATTTGTCTCATTGTAAATTTTCAAAAACTGATTTTTTTAAATTTTTTACTAATAGAAAATTATATATATTAATGGTCAAAGTTGTACCTCGGCAAGTGTGAAATGTTTACTGTTGCACTTATTTAAGAACAGAAGAATTATTTTATTATATATATGACACCTAGGGCTACCACATTGATAAGCTTTTCCATTATTGTGACATGGGTATCAAGTTGTGATGTACGTGGGATCTTTTTTCTTCAAAACTCAACTCCACATACTACGTATAATCTTAAAGGAAATGTGATGTTATTCGATCGTGGAAACCTAGATATTATAAGAAGGGTAAAATAATACTCCGTATTCCATCAGTGCCTTATTACTCAGCATTTTGTTTATTTATTAATTTCCTCTCTTCTTTAGAAATAATAATTATTCCACTTAAGTTAAAAGGTACGGAGTAAAAATTGTACTTCTCTTGCTTTGTACATGTGATTAAGAAAGCGTACAACGGTACAAGTGCGTGCTTCATAGATTCAGTGGTATTATTATGTGTATGAATTTGACGGTAGAGGGGAATAGGACTATAAATATTGTAAATCACACACACCATTTTAAGAGGATTAGGTGAATGACTATACACGTTTCATTACTTCTTCCACACATATTTTAATCCTCATTTTGATTCTCCTCATCTAGGACTCAAATCAAACACCCCTAGATCCAGATGAATTAGTAAGTTAATAGTATAAAATATCTAAAAAAATTGAGGTTAACATCACTAGTGGTGGGTGAGATTAGACCATCCATCGATGTAGTACCGCCATAAAATTGTGATTAATATGTACTATTAGAGTATTAGTGATAATGATAAAAAAAAGCAAATTTGGGATGCTTAGGGTGACGTTTCATTAATGGTGGTGTAACCCCGTTGTTGTGTCCATTTGTAGTACAAAAAGCCTTAAATGGACTATAAACGACCGAAAATTTTAGCTCCTTCACCCGCATGCAACACGCTGTTGATGTATACCATAGAAACAGGATGACTCATCCCACAAATTTTTGATTCAATAAAGAGTCCGACGCATCATGCACAACCAACATGTTCCTTGGATTTATTACTTTGAAAAAAGAATAATAAAGATAATAATTAGGGGCGGAGCCAGAGCACTGGACCGCACTAGGTCGGTACAAAGAATATTTTTGAAAAAAATTTAGACCAGAATTTTTTATACTTAATTATTTACACTAAAAAATTAAGGTATTTTTAAAATTTGGGGTGGGCCAGGGCCTAGGTTGGCCCACCCCTAGCTCCGCCCATGATAATAATGGAAAACAAATATAGTCGTGATTTTTCAAAACTTTGTCATTTCACTTAACACGTGAAATATAAGGTAAAAAGTCGATCAACAAGTAATGTTTGTGTAAATAAGAGATAAATAATACTAGTATCGCATGTTAATTACTCGTACGTAAAAGTAACGACCTGCAAAATAACTAAATTTATCAAACATACAATATTAAAGATACATTAGTTATGACTTGATAATTAAGTTTTCACTTAGATTGTTCTTTCTTGTCTGTTATGTTTAAGTTTGATCTAAGTAGTTTGTTTTGGTAAATGCCAATCTTATGTGCATTTTACTATTACTACTATCTAAGACTAAAATCTTTGTAAGACTAAAATTATCCTAAGAGAACATCTTTATCTGAAACATGCCTTTCCCTTGAGAGAAAGTGATAGGATCGGAGTAAAATCTTGAAAGTCAAATCGATGAAAAATGAGAGTTATTCAGGTGGA